TTGAAATCAGGACATCTATCCGTGGCATACTCCTTGTAGAGAGAGAAGTCACGCCTTCTCATCCCCCTCCACACCAAGTCCTTGTAATCGTCTGCCTCTGCCTTTATCGCGAGCTTTAGGACTTCAGGGAAATCAAGCTTGTCGCGCGGAAGATCTTTAAGTATACTCTTTTGCCTACCTTTGGATAAGTGTCCGATGAAGATTGTACAGCGCTTGACCTCAGAGATCTTCCCCTTCTTCATCAGCACGTCAGAGATCTTATGGAAACGCATCCCAAATGCCCGCACGCTCTCATCTTCTTCTTGAATTATTGTTTCTAGGTCTCTGATGGAATACTTGTTATCCTCTAATTTGTAAAGCTCTACGAGATTCTTCTTGTAAGTAGCCCATCTTCCATCCTTTGGTCGAGCTTCTTTGACTTCCCTACCGAGACTTGGGTCCACGTTAAATAGGAAGTTCTCTATAATCTCTTCCTCTGACCACCGACTCCGGCAGGCGTGAAGCTCCCACTTCTCCAGATATTCAGTGATACCATAGCCCCTGAAAGTAGGAGGCTCCGAGGCCTTGTGTGTGATAATATAGCGATCCTTGCTCTCGTAAGGAAGCGGATGCGACTCCCTTGTCTGGGGGTCGAAGACTCGCCTGGGCGGCGCCCTGTCTCTATCTCTGTCCCTCCAATAGGAATCCSTCAAACTCTCTCTCCAGTCGTCTCCGTGCCTGTCCGCTGTGGTGTCTCTTCGCTCGTACTCGGGAGAGCGTCTCCTCGTCACTTCCCGCCRTTCGCTCGAGATGCCTGTCTTTAGAGCTCCCCGCGGCTCTGTCACTGCCGGTTCGCCCCTTTCATCGGGCCCTTCGTCATTGGTTTGGTCGGCCCATCTCAGCGGCGCTTCACGCCTAATTCGGTTCTTGAGATCTCTCAGGGCTCGATCGGGCGATGTCCTGTACTCTTCTCCCACTTCGCTCATGATCGGTTGTGACCCCATCGTGTCGAGTTCCATCGGGCCCTCGGAAGTCACAGTCAGGTATCCTAGTCAAGTGTCTCGGCCCTGACTCTATGACAGTCCCCACAGCACGGACCAATGATAGTCACGGCAGCCCGGACCTCTTTCTTTACTACTACCTACGTTTTCTTTTGTCTTACTCTCCTTAGATCGCTCACTCGTCTCTCCGCGTGATACGCTTCTTGTCTTTACTCTCTCCAGAAAGTCTGACCTCCACGCCTGGATTCTCTCTCTTTCTTCCCTAAAAGGATTTTCTAACTCTCTCGTCGCTAGTTCTGCCCTGCACAACTTGAGCTCATCCTGACACGGCCACATCTCCCTTAATTTGTCCCCCAGCTTCTTTACTTGGTTCAAGAGTGGTTCCTTAATACGCTTTCTCACTCTCTCTACTGCCTCACTCTCCTCTTCCATGATTAGTCCACATCTCTTTCCAGCTCATCCTCTCACCCTCGCTCCAGCTTCCGCTACAGTCTCGTCGTGGAAGTGCTCTGCGYGCATATAACCACGAGACCATACCATCACGTCATAGGTGATTGAGGTCTGGAAGGTTACTCGCGCAAGTATACCAGCTCTACGCTCGTGAATCAATTCCCTAGCTCGCCGTCCGCATTCGCTCGCCGTCAAGTCCTCGTCTAGGTATGCTCGGAGAAGTATTGTCACAGTGTATCCTGCGCTTACCAGTTGCTCTTCTACTCGCATCACCATTGCCGTCCTTCCCGGCATTCCTTAAGCTGCTGCCTCGAAGAGAAATCTCGCTTCCTTTAGCCCTTCGTAATCGATCTCAGCCCGTCTCCTGCAGTATTTAACCAAATCGATCGGCCTCAGACAGTCCACCCAGTTGGTAATGTCTAAGATGTCGTTAAGCGTCTCCCTACTGGGCTAGGTCTGCCCTATCACGAAAGTAGGAAGCCCGAATCGGCAAGCCTTTCTCGGGTAAAGGGTTGGATGYGGTGGACCGTATACTAAGTGACTCCAACTTGTCCTGCCTCCAGAGCGTGTCGCCACTTGCTGATTAACGATCGCTCTGKCCAATAACTCGCGCTTCCACCAACTCCTGCTCGCTCCTGCGAGTGTTAGTCCTATCTCCAAATCGTACGCTCTGTCGGCCAGCAGATGTCCGACCCCTTCTAGATCATGAGTCCTCTCGGGTCGTTCGTCTCGTAGTATCACCGTCCAGAGGAACAGCCCCTCTGCGAGCCACGTCCCCAGGTGTCGTATAGGCACTCGCTCCGTCTCTTCCAACGCCACAGGAAGGGGTATGTCATATCCAATCGCCGTCTCTCTAGGTCCCACAAGCT